TTTTATGGTAGATAGGCTAGGGCATGACAAAAACTACTGGACAGCTTTTTTGGCAAAATATCCTTTTATTTTACAGAAAAATGCAAATTACCAAATTTCCTTTAAATCGTCATTTGACGCACCATTTTATTAAGCAATATGAGAACCATTCCTCCGTCTTTAAAACAATCAAATATTTTTGTGCAATGTTTCAATGTGTACTGGGTTGATTTTGGGGAATGTTGCGTTGTCTTTTTGGGTGGAAAATAATTAAATTTAGGAGACATGTATTTCATTCACTTAAAAATGACTTCGCGACTAAATTAGTTTTCACCATGTTCGAAACCTTCAAATGGATTAAGTCTGGTGGTTGAATTGTAGAAGGATGGTCTACAGATTCCTGTAAAGATTTCTTTGGACAAATGATTGTGAGCGACGAGAGAGCTTTTCAAAGGACGTTAAAAATGCAAATATTTGACCTTTAGAATGCGTCACATGTCTTGACTTATATTAAGTTGAAATAGACACAGAGCTGATAATTGCTGATTTAACGTGTTTCTCGTCGAACCTACTGATAACGCAGTAAAGTTTACTTCTGTTTATACAACGTACGATGTACATAGCCAACAGTCAGCCTATTAAACGGTCGAACACCATGAATCTGTGACCATCTCTCGGCTCATATGATCACCACTGCATCTAAGTCAAAAACGGCTAAGTCATTTGTAGATAGTTGCTTGTACTACACCAAAATATTAGGTTTGATTGCTGATAAGCGTGTAGCCTGTGTACAGCCGCCCCTCTCCTCCAAAATAAATCGGGAAGGAGCTCCTCTCCGAATTTGTTTGGAGGGGAGGGGCAGCTGTAGACGGTTATGGACAAAACACTGACGCCTAGTCCATGGACTACCGTAACGGACTACCCAAATGGACTACCCAAATGGACTACCCAAATGGACTACCCTAAATTATATAATAACCCAAGTTATTCTCACATTTTGATTGGTTCTCGCCTATGATCTATTAGAGGACAGATGCACGACTGACGTCGTCATTTCAAAGTTTTTCCCTCTGTGTTTTAAAATGGCGGAAAGATTTGAGAATTTAGATAATATTTTACA